TAATAACAATGCAGTTGCCATGGTACGACTGAAGAGAGCCACTCTTGAGCATTAAATGAGGGCAAATTCAGACCAGTGACAATTTGTGACAGAAGCGCATAGTGGTTATTTTTTGTATTTCGGTCGTGACTTTTTTTTTCGTAATAGATTCCTAAATTCTGTGTTAAATGTCGGTGAAAATGTAAAAAATATTTTTTTTCGAAAGTAGCGGATATATTGATAATGACCGTTTCATCAATTTCCTAATTTGACCGTAGAAAATAATGTTCTTATTTTATTTTTAATAAAACTGGCGTATTTTAATTTATGTCACTCTAGTCGAAAATTGACGAAATTATTTCATTGGCTGTCTGAGCACAACTATATTTGTGTCACTCTTCATCAACATAAACTCGCTACTTTGTAATACGACACAACCACATTTTAGCTAGCGGTCATTTTTATCGCCCTTTCACATAATTATATACAAATTTAGCTATACATTTTAACAATAATCTCGAAAATGGAAATTTTTGAGTTGTGTCACTATTCTTGTGCACCAAGGATATACTGTAAATAAAGACACTTTATGGACATACAGTATAAACAATGCAGTACTTAAGTAGAATAAAAATGGATCAATATTAATTTGATGCTTTTTCGAATTCATAAATTGCTGAAGAAACGAAATTTGAATTTGTTTTACAGGAAGGTAAGTACATTAAAACCTTTAAATAACTATCTACTAATGGTTTCTTTTTGGATATTTATGACTAGAATATGAAACAGCCGTTTGACACGATATATCGAAGAATATTTAATTCAAACTGATTACTTTTATTGTCTAGGGAATAGTCTTATTTACACAATTTTATAGAAAAAAAAAAAAAGAATACATTTAGGATTACTACGAATTGTTCTCCATTTTTTCTAGTGAGGAATTAAAAAAAAAACATCCTTGCTAAAGAAAGTTCTAAAATTGCGGGGTCCTAAATCATCAATCGTATCTTTGTGATTATAAACTCAAACAAAAGATCTGTTATTATTTCGTCGTATGAAATGTCACACTTTCGAGTGATGTGTAATTTCTTTCTATACAAAACTATCAAATTTTCAAAAATCTTACTATAATGAACCCCTTTAAAAAGGTAAATTATATTTTTGATTGTTAATTGGTATAAAAACAACCAAGCATTCCTGAAGGTGTCTTTTATTACGTACTTGATTAAGAAATATCACTTCCCTAATATTTACATTGTATCATATTATTCAATTATTTAACATTTGTCAAGTAATTTTTTTAAATAAATTAATTTTTACCAGGTTTAATCGCGGCACACAATTTTAATTAAATTCGTAATTTAAATGTGGACGTATTCAAGTCGAAAACAGTAAAATTTTCGAATGTACAAACTTTTCTATTCAAAACAATTGCAATTGTATTCGAATTAAAATAAAATTAATATTATCGATGACAATTTTGTAAACATAAAGTTAGATTGTCATCGTCTGTTATACACAGTAGTGTAAGATCTATAAAATTTCAATTTTTAAAACCACATAACATCTAGGTATTCTAGATCTAGAGACTAGAAACCAAACAAGGCAGAGCATTACAAATCATGAGGTAACTGTCAAATCACGGACCATTAAATCCTGAATTAACTGTCAGATTATTTTTTCAATCTATTTATCATTTATATTTAAAATTATATTATTCTTGAAATATCTTTCTCACGTAATTTGTCAATGGACGTAATTTACAATCACAAATAATTAAACACTATTTTACAAAAACAACATATGTCAAAATCAGATTTTTACAGGAAACGCAAAACAGTGAATATCTTTGTTTGTGTGTTAGTTTTTTAAGAAATTCCATTTGTGTCGGTAAATATAACAATTGGCCACTAATTATTACAGTTAACTCAATTTGGGCATTTTTGGACATGACAATGTGTTGTTTTCGAAAGAAAGTCTTCAATTGCAATAATTAGTATATGCTGCATTTAACACTTAGCTAATAAAATAAAACAGCCATGATATTGGTAAAACTAAAAAATCACGCTGATAATTCGATAACCTACAAAAAAAAAATAAATTAACTAAAGAGTGATCCGCAAAAAAATTTTCTAAAGTAGGCACAGCTCATAATTAAATACAAACTGTCACTTAAAAAGAAGAATTACAAGCCTTAGAAACATTTTTTGTGCATCACTCTATATATATTAAATAAAAAAGTATTCTTATTACAACAAATTTTATATGTAGGTATTAATGTTATCAGAACTAATCAGATCTATAAAAAATCCATCTGTATCAATTATATTTTATGTAATAATTATTTTTCCACTTACTAATGTATGTACAAGAAATGAAAATCGTCAAAACATTAAACTTAACAACAGTTTTGATAAATTAATACATACTTATATCTATAAAAAATAAAATAAATAAAACTTACTATAACTCATAGAATTGATATAGGGGTCCATTCTGTAATAATTTGGTTAAAATTAACTCTGTGTATTATTTAGTTAAAATTATAACTTATGTCAGTAATACATCTAGTAATGATTACATGTCAAATATATTTTTTTTAGATATTTTTAATGTGCGTTGGGCTTAATTTCAATTCACTTTTAGGTATATTACATCGTTGCCATGTCTATTTTAACTAAGACTGGTTATAAAATAGCTAATAACACAAAATTAAATTGATGGAATATCGAATAAAGATTTGGGCTAAATTTTAAACGTCATAGTTATAAATAAGCTTTTAATCTGACGGTTTAAATTAACTATTCTGTAACGTGTAATATATACCTGGCAACGATGTAATATACCTAAAAATTGAATTACAAGTAAGACCAATGCATTATTAAAAACATTCAATCATTACTAGATTTATTACTGATACAAGTTATATTTTTAATCAAATTTTTACAGAATAGATCCCATAATAATCTAAAAATGACCGATATGGGTAAAAAATAAACACCATAATAATAAACGAACTCTGATCACATTAGATAAAAGTCGACACACAAGATAATAAAAAATTACAGCTGGGAAAATAAGTCTGAATATAGTAAGTGACGGAAATAACCGTCAGATACAAAGGAACAATAAATCGGGATAGGAAAAATTATCAGCCCCTAATAGCTTTACAATTCGAATCATAGTTACTATATTTTTTCTACGATCACAACGAATACTTTGTATTCAAATTTTTGATAGCACATTTATCCTTTTCAATCATCGGGAGGCAAACATAATTCGTTTTCTAAATTACTATTGACATAATATACATTATTTTAATAATAAATGGATATAAAATTTGTTCATTCACTTCAAGATGATTAAACGCTAATCCCATGTCAAGTAATCCAACTATCTTGACCCTTCAAAGTTATATGTAGCAAATGAAGAAGGGAAAAAAATTATGAGATGGAAATAGTATATTAAACCCCAAGGACTGAAGTAACACAAGCTTTTTTATGCACTATAGGAAAAGAAAAACTAAGAAAATATAATGAAAATCATGAAAAACCACTTAACGGTACTCTAATAACAAAACAAAGATGATGTCAGTGCAAGTTTGTTATAATGGTGACGTATATTGTACTTTGTACTGTATTTTCGGTTGTATGGTATAAGTATATTATACTAGGAATTAAAAGTAATTTTTAGGGAGAAAATTGCTATTAAATATATTGTATTTTTAATCCCTAGATATTAAAAGTACTTTTTTAATCTGTAGTAAGTAAAAGTGCCATTTTAGACCCTGAAAATAGAGCACAAAAACATTTTTCTGTTTCCACGTCAGACATAAATACAATGAAGCTTATTTGTCGTATCAAGCCAATCTCCTTTAACGAGAATGGCACTATTTTGAAGTTTAATTGTTCATTTCCTTCCTACCTATGTATTAGTTGCTGCAGTTTTATTTTTTTATCAGTTATTTTTCGTTAGTTTTTTACCAATTTTGATATTTGTTAGTTTGTTTAGTTGACATTTCCTACATTATTTTGAAAAACAACGATTTGGTTTTAAACATTGCAAGTGTTTTTAGAGAAATAAACGAATTATTTTTATTTGGTTCGTATAGAAAAGGCGCAATACTTTTTTAAAAGATCATTTCAAGTCTATTTCCTATTTCCCTCGTCTGTACTAGGTAAACTCTTTCAACTCTTTCAATGAGGGAATCTGTGAATTTTGTGACGAAAGAAACATTATACACCTTATCACTTCGCTCTACAGTACGGATGTCACAGCAGTGAATTCCAACTAAATCTCCTCAGACGTTCTTCTTCTTGACGTTCAAAAAGTTTTTGGACAAATCTGGCATGCTCGACTAATCACGAAACTCATGAACATAGATCTCTCTACCAACATTAAGGCTAGGGATTATCAAAATTAATAACCGATTATCGATTATTCGAAAATAATCAATTACTCGAAAATAATCGATTAATCTAAAATATTACATTAATCAAAAATAATCGATAAATCGGAGGATATAATCGATGAATCGAAAATAATCGGTCAATCGAAAATATTCGGTCAATCGAAAATAATCGATTATTCAAAAATAATTCAAAAAAATCTATTAGTTGAAAATAATTGATTAATCGAAAATAATCAATTAATCGAAACTAATCAATTTAATGAAAATATTCGATTAATTAAATAATCGAAAATAACTGACTAATAGAAAATACCCGGTTAATCGAAAATAATCGATTAGTAGAAAATAATAGATTAATCGAAAATAATCGATTAGTCGAAAATAATCGATTAATCGAAAATAATCAATTAATAAAAAATAATCGATTAATCTAAAATATTACATTAATTAAAAATAATCGATAAATCCCAAATAATCGATGAATCGAAAATAATCGGTTAATCGAAAATAATCGATTATTCACAAAAATCGATTAGTAGAAAATAATCGATTAATCGAAACTAATCAATTTAATGAAAATATTCGATTAATTAAATAATCGAAAATATATGCTTAAATGAAAATGACTAATAGAAAATAACCGGTTAATCGAAAATAATCGATTAGTAGAAAGTAATCAATTAATCAAAGATAATCGTTTATCGATTTTTCAAACAGAAATGAATCTATTAACAGATTATTTTGCCCAACCCTAACCAACAATACCAAACTCAATTCATTCCTGCCTCACAGACAAAACAATCACGGTCTAAGTAGATAATTTCGCCCCTCAAGCAGAGGTACCATAGGGCTCAGTCCTAGTCACAATGCCTTCTGTACGCAGATGATGCTCAGGGTTGTTCCAAGCTACACAATTTAAATATTGATTTCACAGGTGCACCCCAATGGTCAATTTCATCTGTTTACTGCACTATTAATTAAACTACACAAAAAACTACACAAGTTAAAAATTAAAAATAATAAAACAGCAAATTTTTTCGCTTGCATACTGAAATCACGAATCACGTGCATTTACCAGTTCACAAAGTTACACACATCACATATGCTATTATATTGCTGGTACAGATTATATAATAATTGTATTATTCTCTCGTAGATAACGATTTAGACAGATATTTTTCCGTATTGTCATCATGGAATAGGGAATTCCCCGAATATTTATTCTTGTTCGGCGTGATCTGAGAACGAACGTAAATGTAAGTCGTAAGTTACGTTCTCAGACATACACTGTGATTGCGTGATTGTATTGTAAAAAATCGATCGGTAAGTTTTTGGCTTGTAACTTACAAATAAATGGTTAATATTATTGACAACAGGTGTTGTATTCGCTCCAGATCATTTTGGCGAAGATGGGTCATTAATGCCGACCCATCTTGGATTTTACATCACTTATCACTCACTGTCAATAGTGTCAGTTTCCACTTTTATGTCAAATGTCTGAAACTGCACAAAACTACACAATTTCATTGTGGAAAAGTTCACATTCAAAAACTGGTCTGAAACAACACTGATGATGGTCTTAGTAGGCCAGAATTCTGATCCAACTAAAAATCTACTGAACTAGTATACTCGCGGGTGCGGCAGGATAGGATGCGTCGGCGAGCTGGACTCCTCGGAGCTCTATGTGAACGTTTTATCTGTTGCAATTCTGAAACATTCATACATACCTATAATGCATATATCCGTTCCGTTGCTGAGTACAAAGCAGTACTATGCAGCATACTTTCCCCTTGTTTTGCATATAAACTTACAACACTAAAGAGAAGTATACTCCGACGATACCAATATCTACCTTTTCGTTTTCCTAGAAGACAAGTAAGTCTACGAACACACAAACAACATCCTAATCCCAGCCCGTTTCGAATTACTCAGGAAACAATACGTTTATCGAACTCGGAATTGCTCAGAAACCTTTTCCGAAAAACCAAAATATCCCAGTCAAACCCTCGACTTCTCACCGACCCGACGTCCAATAATTAATCCTCCCACTCTATGAAGTTCTCCAGGACCTACTGGAGTCAGCCCCTTATCGATCAGATAGAACTCGCACACCCAAACAACCCAAAAATTAGTATTACCATGAGAACCAACATATACAGAATCGTGCTTTAGGTTTTGGTGTTTTTTCCAAAGAAATAGAATGATAAGGTACCGTCTGCGCATACATGACGAGTTTTGAACTTGTGCATGATTCAACCTTACACTCTTACATACGTAAATGCTCTAAAGCATAGTAAACAAATTCCAGGCTTGGCCTTGTTCAGCCATTATGTTCGTGTTGTAGCTGTTGTAGCTGTTGTAAGCTTTTTTTGGCGTCGGTTCTTTATTCGCTTGCTTATATTTGTTATTTTTTGTGCTTTGATTTCGATTTAGTATTAAATTATACTTGTAATTTTTTTTCAACGCACTATTTCATAATTCTTGCACAAAATATTCTTAAACTGTCCCCAAATCTTGTTTACAAAATGTGCAAAACAAAATTGAGCATATCTATACTTTTTCATTGATAGTTATCATTCTACCCCTCTGCACTTCATTGGGTTTCCCTTAATACGAGTATTTCCCACTTTATCTCGGACTTGCTCCAAAATAAAGTTGGAAAAAGTAAAATTAGTGATTATAATTGGGGACAGAACCTGCCACACAGGTTCCACGTGCCAAAAACACAGGAACTTAGCTAGCTCAGTTACTTATTGTAATCAGGGCAGGGTAATACGAAAATAAAATGTCCTATTAAATGTAAACAAAACCCTTGAGAAATAAATATTAAAATAAAAAATAAAACTTCTTGGTGTTAAAAATGAGCAGTGTCATTAAAAAAGTGACATCACTTCTCCCGCTTTCAGAAGCCATGTCATAGTTGTTAAAGAGCTGTCAAAACCTTTGTGAATTCGAATAGGTTTAAACAAACTGGTGTTTTAATCTTAATAACAAATTAGTAGTGGAGTAATGCTTACACCCTTGCTAAATATGCCTCTTCTTTGGAAGGCGATTCAGCTTCGATGATGAGGTGAAAGATTGGGTTTAACGCAAACAAAAACTGCCACAGCAGCGTCTACAAATATACATCGATCAAAGTGGCGATTAAGTAGAAAAATAGACACATGTTAAAACCTTAGAATGATGTAAATATTATAGAAAATAAACGGATTTTTGTATCTATAATAAAATAGAAGACCTCACTTTTGGTATTACTCTCGAATATCAACAAAGTCAATTGTACAATAATACAGTATTTATAATAATAGTGATTGTAGAAAAAATATGTTGTATACTCCTGTTCGGTAGTTAAACAAAAGCTATTAGGTTAATGTTAGAAACTAAATAACATAAATAAATAATGTTTTGTTATTTTTCGCCCAAGCGGTCATTTTATATCCCAGCATTCACAGCACCCGCATTAATTTAATATGTACACACGTATCCTAAAGTTAAGCATCTTCGGGTTCGAGAAGATGTTGCGCCTCGATGATGTTATTGTGGAACGTTTGCGGGAAACGTTTGTTAAGTGCGGCTGCGGTCGTGATGGTTTGTTGTCTTTTAATAATTATGAGAGCGACGGCCGCGGCCACGCTTATCAACAAGAGTGCTATCAGCACTCCACCTACTGAAAAAAGTTTAAACTTGTTAAAAAAAAAGGATCCAGAATAAATTGTTGAATTTATAAATAAACACATGACGACGCAGAAGATTAATTTGAATCAGTGGTCGGCAATCTATGACCCGCGGGTCATGTTTGATAAGTTCGAGTTCCGCAATAATTACCTAAATATACTAATCACAAAAAATAGCACATAATTTTTGTAGAATAATTGTTACTTTCATTATTTTTGCCTGTTATTCTTTGATTTTTAATTTTAATCAAATAAACCACTGTTAAACATTTCCAAGTTCCATTACCTGCTATTTTTAAAAAGCTTTAAGAAACAAAATAAAAACGTTTAGTCAAAAATCCTCTTATGCGGTATTTTTTGTGTTGAGTGTAATACTTTTCACGTCTGGCAAATTGCATTTATATTAAAGCGCGTCGAAATAGAGGAAACTGTTTCAGATTTGCAGTATTTTAAATATCGTGGACCAAGAACTTCAAGACACTGCAGAAATGAAATATTTAGAAAATATGACGGCGTTATGCAATAATGAGTGAAGCTACCACCAAGTTGTCTGGAGAAACTAAGCAAAGTAGTTAAGCAAACTGTAGTAATATAAACGCAGCCATTAAGCTAGCACGTTTTTGAGCATTAAAATAGTTGGGGCCGTGTATTTTAGGGTAATGAACGTTTTAAGGAACTACGAAAAAAATTTAAAAAATGTGAGTTGACTCATTTTAAATTGTCGTTTTATCCAAGAAAAAGGAAAACAGTATTTTGTAGAAAGTTCGTATTCTATCATAAATTTTTCTTAAAATATCTATAGAATACTATTGTTTTTACTTTTAAAAAGATTTTTAACAACCCTGTAGGCCTGGAGATTTAACAGGGTCAATGAAATAGATAGTTATATAGATTGATCATCCATGTTTTTCAAAATAGACATAAACTTACGCATAGTCGCCTTTATCTTTATCTAATTAGGTAAAGAGGTCATGACTTACGTATTGAAATAAAAATATAGATAATTATTTTTTTTACTATATTCAAAGGCTGAAAATTGGTTTGTAAACACATTTTTGGTAATCGCAAACGACCCGCTTTGAGTAATCCATATATGAATCATTGACCCTGTCAATAACAACAGGCCCACAGGGTTACGATATCAAAACTGTCAGTTCCCACTTGTTAGCATTGTGACAGGTTGTTGAAATAGGCCTTTTCATCATAATTTTTTTTGGAGCGCATGCGTCAGTATCAGCCATCTATTTCGTACTGTTTTTTTTGTAAACAAGCATGTTAAAATGTCCACGTGAAAAAATTATAATCGATAAATATTAATTTTAAGTGTATTTGTTTAAAAAATGGGATAAAAAAAGTTAAGTTATAAGTGTCTTGATTGAAAAATCAATTTTTGCATTCAATTAATTATGTTATCTTTGCGGAAAGGAAAAACTAAACGGTATTGTTATGAGTATGTAAAAGTGACACACGGTATAAATTATTATTTTATAAAAAACTATCAAATCATTATGCAAAATACATATTAAAACATGTTCAAAATTAGCATTATGAGTGAAAAAATGTGGTCGAAGTGACAAAGGTTTTCGATCGATTGATGGATGTTACTAAAGATATTTATATTTGTTCACTACATTTTCATGGAGAAAGTCCTTGTCTGGTATTACACAATATTTTTTAATATTAAATACTATTTCGGTATACACAGTAATATCATTAAAAATGTCATGTTGATCCTTAAAATTTTAAATAATTTATCTTATTATTTATACTCGTGATTAAGTTTCATGTTAAAGTGTTTTTGCAATTATTAATAGTTGGTAGGCATAATTAATTAGAATAGTTATAATTATTATTTGTTTTATTAATTTTGTACAGTTAATATGCATTGAAACCTAACCTCTCAATCACCACACTTTTTTCCTTGTTTCGAACGTCCACGTCACTTCAAGAATCTTTTTAATTGCTCACAACTGTGTGCTTCCACAGTTATAAAAATGTAATTCACCATCAACGAGTTTTTCTAATGATTGATTTGTATGTAGAGATAATATTGCTTTGGCAGCCATTGTTGATCAAAACAGTACGAAACTTTTGAATTGGCGCTTTTTGTAACATGACGGCTGCGCTTGCGCTCATCACATGATGAAAGGGCCAATGATTAATTGTTAGTAGCCAACTTTGATATGGACTATTTTAGGTTTTTAAATAAGCAGAAGTGATTGCCCTACGACTTTTTTCCAGTCGTGATATTAAAAGATCCCATATGGATCCAACTTTATGGCACACACTGTATATAAAGGCAGTTAGTTCTATGTAAAAGGCAGTTGTTATTTATTATTAGCTGTTTCTATTCATATTACGATGATGAAAGAATGTTAGTAAGTCTATTTAAGTTTGTAAGCTTTATGAAACAAGTTCAAAATTAAATAAAGACCCATGATAAGCATTTTTAATAAGAAAATATGAAACATTTTACACAAAAATATATACAACTCTGTTAATTTCTAGATAGATAAACTTTGGTTTTATAATAAATTACGAATATAATATTTACAAATTTGAGACTCCATTTAATAAAATTTTCCACTATAAAAAATAATATTTTGTCTCTAGTTAAAAATGTGCACTTGGCGCAGCGTATCTTTACCGGTTCTTCAATAATTTAGGTTTCTAAGGTAAGCCAAGAAAAAATCACACATTTCGGAAAGTAAAATTCTCATTCCCTTTTAAATGCGTAGTTATTACACATATGATTCGGTCGTGAGCTACTTACAAACATTTTCTGTTAATCACTAGTTATTATTATCATCTAAGTGAAAATACAGGGTGTTATGGAAATTCCTGTAAATAGTAAAACATATTTTGGCTCTTCTAGAATATGCAAAAATATTATTTTGAAAAAAAATCAATAATTGAAGGAGTAATTACATATTTAAAATGTATGTCATCTAAAAAATCTAGTTCTCACAAAACCACTGATTCTGAATACCTGAGTCTCTATCTACATTTTTAATCTTATTATTCTACCAAAAACTTACCATTCGGTATTCAAAAGAGAGCCAAAAAACGGTTTGTTAACTTTACAACTGCAAATTATACTCATTTTTTTTATTTGAACTCAGGATACCTGTGAAAGGCAAAATTATGTATAGGAAGATTGACATTATAGTTATTCTAAAATGTAGTATTGTCACATAGCTTCGTAAAATTCATTGGATATTTTAAATCTCTTCAATGTTATGTATTAAAACATTATGCGATAAAAACAAGCAGAAAAGAAGAACGAAGGCGTTTTTTCGATTTAATCGAATTCACATAAGATTTATACAGGAATTCAAGGGTGAATCATGAACTACATAAATTAAGTCCCAAAGAGCATGGACAAAGGCCCAGACGCATCGGAAAGATCAAATAAAAAAAAAACACTATAACTGATTGTTTTTCAGCACTCCTTAGAATTTAAAGCTAAAACTAGTGTCATTCGTTTTTGGACACTATAGACTCTTGCCATTTTATTTCAATATGTATATGTATTTCAATAACACCCTATATATTGGGTCATAATCATAACACTGATAAAAAAAATGCTTTAATTTCAATTTTTAACGTTTACATATAGTATTTTCTAACTTAGATGTTTTCTCATGTGATGACCCAACATATATTACTACTGTGATACTGATTCAAGTAAAGATATAGAAAAAGTCCGGGATAAATTGATAAAACTTTGGAAAAATTTTAAGTTCAAGCATTTGCTTTAGATTTATGAATATGGTTCATTATCTTCCTTTGAAAATTAAGAGATAGCCCAAGAGCCCACTGCAAATTTTAACCGTCATCTGACAACGAAATGAAATATGACTTAAAGGCAAGTAAAAACATTGTACTTTACCAAACAGCACCAGTGCCAATCACTATCCTGGGCAAAATAGTAAAAAAAAAATATATTCAAAAAATCCCATAAGATATGACAGTGATAATTTTGTTTGCCCTTAAAGTTTTCCAGATAACATATTCAAACACTTTCTTCTCCTTAACATCTCCATGATTAATAGGTAAAAACCATTAAAAATATGAATTAATTTTTGCTGATTTGAAAATTTATTTGTGTACTTATTGGTGTGGTTCATTCTTACAGAAACAACAAAAAACTATTATTATTGTTTAAAAGAATTGTTTAACAAGAGTTTTTATTATTATTGACTATATGTGCAAATGCCATCCTTCTTCCTTTCGCACACATGGTTTAAATGTTTAAAAGGTAGGTAAATATTATAATAATTCAGGTTTAACCCTTTGTGTCTTGACGGGACTTAAAGGTCCCAAAACTTTTAACCTCTCAGTAAATTACGATATGCTCGCTATGACTCTGTTGTCCTGACGGAACTCTGAAGTACACATTTTATAAGGTATGTATGTGGCCAACAATATATTATTATTACGGACAGTTTGAATTTGTAAACACAGCCGTAAGTGTGTTATGGCAGTCGAGTCGTGAATGTGTAGTGCGAGTTTTTTTATTAATAACATAAAACAAAAGCCTTAGTAAGTTCGGGTTTGTTTAAAATTTTAATTATTGTGGTTTTATATAACTAAACAATGATTTGTTTGTTCACTAACGTAAATAGGCGTTCCATAGGGTAGCTATTTTCATCCAGGACTCCTAAGTCCCGCCAGGGAATAGACGCATATTAATAAGGTAACTGTTATACATATATTCATTACTTTTGGGTGAATCTATTTTAGGTATTTATTTATCTAATTACAGACACTTCCAAAAGAGGACGATGCGAGGAATGTTCGTCAATTGCAGTAGAATCCAGACCACATTCACAGTGTTTAAATTGTAAGGTATATTTGTGTTTTAACATATATCATGAGATTGTTCAATAGATATTTTTTTACAATTTAATTCTGCCTTTTTTTACCCCGACGGGACTTGAAAGACCCGGCCCCAAATTTTTAGGAGGGGGACACAAACATTTTGAAAAAATTAATTTGACCTACATAGGTGCCTCTACTTGATATATCAAACTTATTTATTACATTTCTAAAAAAATCTTTATCTGGGACATAGAGGGTTAAAAGACAGGTTTACAATGAATTAGGATTGTAATTTTCAGGGTAAACAAAATTATCGCTGTAATGTCTTATGTGATTTTTTACAATAATTGTTTTTAGTACTTTGCTCAGTATAGTGATTGGCACAGGTATCGTTTGCTAAAGTACAATGTTGTTACATGCCCTTGGATCATATTTCATTTCGTTAACAGATGACGGTCGAAATTTGCAGTGGGATCCCTTACTAAGAGAAAATTTGCGAAAAATCTAATTTAACCCTTGGAATTACTTTGAACCTATATAAAAAGTTAATGTTCAAATAGAGTATATTTATTATTTGGTATACATATTGTGTTTGACGCACAAGTGAAGATACGCCGCCCCAGCTGCACAGTCATTCATAGCTTCACTTACCAGTAACGATCAAAATCGAACCGATGCTGTACCTTCCCGGTTTGTCGCTCAGAATGTCGACGATATTACCCATGGAACCGTTATTTGGTACCTGTGGCAATTCTAAAATTTCCGTAAAGAGATTGTAGAGATCCACGGTATGGAAAGGCGCCACTTTGTGTTGCTTTTTGATCTTCGGTCCTCTAGCCATGAAAAAGGGATGCATGTCGCTAACGTTGTAATCGTAACCGTGAACGCCGAATTCAGAATCGTCTGTTACTACAAATTAATCAAATAATATATATGTAGGAATGGATTTTAATAATTGACGTTAGTAATTTAAAAATCTCACACAAGACGAAGAATAAAAATCATGTTTCAATTACATAATAAGTTTAAATCAAAGCCAACCCTGGTAGTTGCAGGAATGCAGTTTAACGTATTTCAAAATTCCAAGAAAATTCTATGAACACCTTTACAATACAGACATCTGTCATGTGTCAACCACCTCCCTTCCGCTTCTCCGACTCCTTAATTTTATATACCATGTATGACACATCATTGAAAAGGTACTTACAACTCTTGTTACGTAATATACTATTATATGCCGCCCTCCTCAATTAAAAGGCAGCATCTACAAAAAAAAATCAGAAACAAGAGATTTTACATATATGGATTCCTATGATATTAATCTTACAACCTGAAAATACGGTATCTGAACAATTAACTGGTAAAAACACTTAAAACACTTTGCCGTATTTGCAAAATCGTGTCAATTTCTTGGTTGCCAGTGCTTAATGAAAACGCCTTAAGTGCTTTTTTGAAAAAACTAGATGAGGTAACACAATTTTTTTTAGTATTACACATTTTAAGTTTTATTCTAATTACTATAGCACATTTTTTTAATTAAATAAAATAGAAAAAGTAAGGAGTCAAAGTAATAAACTTCAAACCCCATTTTCTCAGATTTATGTTGTTTGTAGATACGGCCTTTTAATTGAGGAGGGCAGTATGACTTATTGAATAATTTTTAAAGAGATTTACAGATGGTGTTTTGTCAAAATTAAAAAACATTGTAACTTAATTTACAAACAATTTCATAGGACGATAAAGGTAAAATAATATTAGGTACAAAAAATACTATGTTTTTCATTAGTTTATTTTTTTTAACAAATAAGATGAACAATCGCGAACAAAAACTTTTTTATTATTAATGATGACCCACTTATCTACTCACAATTTTTTTCTGAACAGTAATTGAAAGAGTCCCAAATAAATTGGGGTTATATTGTGATAAATAACAAGTATTTGAAATAAATAAACAAGAATAGTCGTATTTTTCCAATTTTCAATAAAAAAAAGATGCTTCATCGGGCATTGACTCTATGACCTGCGCTATCAGCGTTATGTCACTTAAATTGTCTAATCAAATATGTATATGAACCAGAGAAAAACAAAAAATACTGCAGATAGTTTCTTTAAAATTCTTTTAATAATTTCTTTAAAAGAAATATCTAAGATCTATATTTAAAAATCAATGTTAACAATTTAATCTTTAAATTGATTTTACTATTAATGTGGTACATCAGTTAAAATAGAAATTATGCGTCCGACAGCTTATGCGAAAAGCAGATTCATACTCACTAATCACACACGGGTGGAAAATAGATTCTTATCCACAGGCCTGACATACGGCACTTCTAATAAAACTAAATAGTGTGATAATAGGTGTCACTTTCTTGAGTGGTCGTAAAAAAATAATGTTTAGGAAATAAGTGTTAAATTGTGCAAATATGTATTTTTTTAATTACCAATAAAGTGCCATTTTGTTTAATCTCAGCATTTATTTTTTTATTATTATAGTTAAATAAATAATTCAAAAGTAGGTAGGTAAATATTTTTTTTTAATTTAATATGTGTTGTGAAAAAGTGAAACCTTCTTGTTTTATATTTTATCATCTTGTAGATACATTTTTATTTGTTTATTAATTATATTTATAAATAAAAATATTTGCGAGCTACGTGTGATTACACATTTGTTTTTATAAAGCGATTAATTTTTCAGACAATAAAATATTTTTTATCATCATTTTATATACAGTGTGGGAAGTTTTCGGTGTGTCAACTTGTATATATAAATTTAAACTTATTATTGTACTAAACTAATAGAATAAAAATAATATACATATCTACATAAAAACAGTTTATTTTCTGTATAAAAAGTTAATTATACGTAGTTATGAAAAAAAAAAAAAATCTGATGTGTCCAACACATGACTTTCCTATCTAGTTATTACATGCTTTTTCCGGTTATTTTGTACAACCTATTGCAGCACCTCCATAAATGTTTAGAGGATAAAATAAATATATACATTTTCCACATACATCTACCTCGAAACATTTTTCTATAGATATTCATTGAAAATGAAAATACTGAAAAATTTAAATTTAGCACTTTTCCTACAATTTTTCCATTACGGTCCATTTTAGAAAAATAATGTATAAACAAAAATCTGATGTGTCCAACACATGACTTTCCTATCTAGTTATATAAATGTTTAGAGGATAAACTAAATATATACATTGTCCACATCTATCTACCTCGAAACATTTTTCTATAGATATTCATGGAAAACGAAAATACTGAAAAATTTTAATTTCCTACAATTTTTTCATTACGGTCCATTTTAGAAAAATCATGTATAAACAAAAATTATAGAGATCGATATCGCAAACAACTTTTATTTCAAAAACTTTCATAATAAAAATCAGAATTTTGCACATTTTGTCAAATTTCTCGAATACGGGCCGTTTCAGGAAATTTTTACATAAAACAAAAATTACAGATAATAATATTAGAAGTAACTTTTATTTGAACAATTTTCCTCTCCAAACATAAATAACAGATATATTCCATAAAATATAAAAACGGCCTCCCATAAAGTACCCCCCCAGATGTTCCGACTTTGTCCAAAATCTAATCATTTCACGTCAGGCCGAAATAAACCTTAAGTTTAAAATTTAATGTTTTTTTCTTTATCCGTTTTTGAGTTTTCTTCAAAATTCGAAATTTACACATTTTCTCAAATATCTCGAATACGGTCCATTTTAGAGAAATTATGTAGAGAATAAAAATTATAGAGAATTATATTACAAACAACTTTTATTTGAACAATTTTTATAAAAAAATATTTTTTTTACATTTTGTCAAATTTCTCGAATACGGACCATTTTAGGAAAATTTTGTATAGAACAATAATTATAGATAATAATATTAGAAGTAACTTTTATTTAAAGAATTTTCTTCTCCAAACGTAAATAACAGATATATTCCATAAAATATAAAAATGACCACCTATAAAGTAACCCCCCAAATGTTCCGACTCTGCCCAAAATCTAATCAGCTCATTAGACGCTGAAACAAAGCTTAAGTTTAAAATTTGGTGTTTTTCTGTGTATCGGTTCATCAGTTATGCGTTATACAGACACACACACACACAGACACACACACACACACAGACATCATCGCGAAAATAGTCAAAACGGATTCAGGGGACCTCAAAACGTAAAAATCCGTCGAAAACTCGAGGTCGAAAAAAATCATGATTCCTATACTTTCCTTATATCTGTATACAGATAGGAAAGTAAAAATTATAGAGATCGATATCGCAAACAACATTTATTTCAACAATTTTCATAAAAATCAGAATTTTGCACATTTTGTCAAATTTCTCGAATACGGACCATTGCAGGAAATTTTGACATAAAATAAAAATTATAGATAATAACTTTTATTTGAACAATTTTTTTCTCCAAACATAAATAACAGATATATTCCATAAAATATAAAAACGGCCCCCCATAAAGTACCCCCCCAGATGTTCCGAATTTGTGTCCAAAATCTAATCATTTCATGTTAGGCCGAAATAAAACTTAAGATTAAAATTTAATGTTTTTTTCTTTATCCGTTTTTGAGTTTTCTTCAAATTTCGAAATTTACACATTTTCTCAAATATCTCGAATACGGTCCATTTTAGAGAAATTATGGAAAGGATAAAAATTATAGAGAATTATATTACAAACAACTTTTGTTTGAACAATTTTTATAAAAAAATATTTTTTTACATTTTGTCAAATTTCTCGAATACGGATCATTGTAGGAAAATTTTGTATAGAACAAAAATTTTAGATAATAATATAAGAAGTAACTTTTATTTGAAGAATTTTCTTCCCAAAACGTAAATAACAGATATATTCCATAAAATATAAAAATGACCACCTACAAAGTCCCCCCCAGATGTTCCGACACTGCCCAAAATCTAATCAGCACATTGGACGCTGGAACAAAGCTTAGGTTTAAAATTTGGTGTTTTTCTGTGTATCGGTTCATCAGTTATGCGTTATACAGACACACACACACACAGACACACACACACACAGACATCATCGCGAAAATAGTCAAAACGGATTCAGGGGACCTCAAAACGTAAAAATCCGTCGAAAACTCGAGGTCAAAAAAAATCATGATTCCTATACTTTCCTTATATCTGTATACAGATAGGAAAGTAAAAATTATAGAGATCGATATCGCAAACAACATTTATTTCAACAATTTTCATAAAAATCAGAATTTTGCACATTTTGTCAAATTTCTCGAATACGGACCATTGCAGGAAATTTTGACATAAAATAAAAATTATAGATAATAACTTTTATTTGAACAATTTTTTTCTCCAAACATAAATAACAGATATATTCCATAAAATATAAAACGGCCCCCCATAAAGTACCCCCCCAGATGTTCCGAATTTGTGTCCAAAATCTAATCATTTCATGTTAGGCCGAAATAAAACTTAAGATTAAAATTTAATGTTTTTTTCTTTATCCGTTTTTGAGTTTTCTTCAAATTTCGAAATTTACACATTTTCTCAAATATCTCGAATACGGTCCATTTTAGAGAAATTATGGAAAGGATAAAAATTATAGAGAATTATATTACAAACAACTTTTGTTTGAACAATTTTTATAAAAAAATATTTTTTTACATTTTGTCAAATTTCTCGAATACGGATCATTGTAGGAAAATTTTGTATAGAACAAAAATTTTAGATAATAATATAAGAAGTAACTTTTATTTGAAGAATTTTCTTCCCAAAACGTAAATAACAGATATATTCCATAAAATATAAAAATGACCACCTACAAAGTCCCCCCCAGATGTTCCGACACTGCCCAAAATCTAATCAGCACATTGGACGCTGGAACAAAGCTTAGGTTTAAAATTTGGTGTTTTTCCGTGTATCGGTTCATGAGTTATGCGACACACAGACACACACACAGCTATCATCGCGAAAATAGTCAAAACGGATTCAGGGGACCTCAAAACGTAAAAATCCATCGAAAACTCGAGGTCGAAAAAAATCATGATTCCTATACTTTCCTTATATCTGTATACAGATAGGAAAGTAAAAAACGATGTGCTCTGTACATTTTAAATGAGCTGCGTCTGAGAGTGTACTGAGTGATGGTGACGCAACGGGTAAGAAATCAGGCAACTCGGCTAACCTGTAGTAAATAGTCCTTGGTACCAATTAAATCCATAGAAAATCGCATAAACAACCTAATCAAGAAATTTGTACAGAAACCAGGAAACACAAGATATATCAAGATACTATGTTGGAAGGAACCATCTCTAAAGGAACCCCACCATTCACCCTAGATCAAAGTGCCCAATACTCGCGATTCAAATTAATTTTCGCACGCCTGTTATTTGTCACCTATAATTAGGATGTTTGTTTATTTACATTGTATTTGTTTTGGGCGGAATTTTTTATTTGTGATTTTTTAACTGTTTTTAGATAATATTCTCATTATAATAGTATTTTGAGTTTCATTTAGTGTTAATTTAAGTTTAGTTTCTGTGCTTTCGTCATAAAAATAATATTTATCATGTGTTTATCACTTTTGTTGGAAATCTTCACCTATTGGTTGCTACACAAACATCTAGAAATATTTATTTACTAAACCCAGGACATGTTTTATTATGTGGTTGAAAGGATATTTCAGGTACCAAACGTTTATTATTGATGAACTTAATTAAAAATTTTACTATCCTTATTCTTATATTATTAAGTGAATGATGTAGTACTTTGTAATAAAACCGTCACAAATCAGATTGCAGTTTGATTCTAGATAAAATTTTGCAAAATCTCAATATTGTGAATTTGCAGATATCCATTTACCGTAAGAAACAAAATTTTACGACTTAAGACATTTTGACATTAACATCATATAGATTGCAATTGCAAATTTTGCCACTTCTTCATTAAAAATCTGACGACGTAGCGAAATTTCGCAACTCCTGGCAACACTACAATGAATTTATCTACTACTAATAAACAAATTATTTTTTTTCTCATTCAAATCATGTTTTTTTTTGTAATATAAAATATGTATAACCACAATTGTATACAGTACAATAGGCAAAAGGATGATAGCCTATTGAATTGAATATTTAGTTTAATTATTATTATTAATATTTTATATTTTATCAGCACACTGTAAAAAAAGTAAAGAGAAAGAAAAGTGGGCATGGCCCCTGAAAAAACTCTCCATAGATTATTACAACCATCCAATGATGTAAACCCTACATCTTAACCTAGATTCCAAATTTGAGCTAAATATCTCAAGAACTGGAGAAGACATAGAGAAAAAACAAAAAAGTCCAGAAATTTCAACACCCTGTAGATCGGCAACGAAGTGTTTGCGAACCTAAGTTCTTCTCAAGTGCTTCTCAAAAGTCCCCTCCCCCTCTTTTCTTTTGAACGGTTATACTTAGACTGATGAAGTTTGGAGGGTGGAAATGAACTATTGTAAGCTTCTCTACTAGTGGCAACAGGTTACTTAATAGGCATCGGTGACGTCACCAGGCAACTGAAACCAATAATATTAAATGGGACCTCATATCAAGTGGCACTTCGTTTGAAAGGCTTTTAGGATACCTATTCAATTATACTATTTTTTTTGGATTTACGATGTTTTTGATGGTTAAAATAAATAAACACTAAAATTTGAGATTCAAAAGTCCGCTATGGTTAATTGTCAAAAAAGCTGAAGTTTTTTAATTGACGTTTTTACAGGCGATAATATCTTGAATTTTTAGTTTAATTATTGTTTAACGAGACGTTTAAGTATCTACATAAAATGGTACGTGCTCTAGCTGACAAAGTAACAGCTATCTTAATTATTGGTGAAAGTGAAAATAATTTTCATGCGGCGGAACGCATTTTTAATGAGATATACCCCGATCACCCTATATCGAGGACTTATTTGAGGGAGCTTTTTCATAAGTTTCAACAAACAGGTAGTGTTCATGATACCAAACGATCGGGTCGACCAAATATTAGTATTGATAAACAAATTGATATAGTTGCAGAAATTGTAGTAAACCCTACTTCTTCCACAGCCCAAGTATCGTCTACCTTTGGAGTCAGCCATAGTACAGTACACAGGGTGTTGACCAAGAACACATTTCGCCCATCAACTTTCAGATGACGACCCCGACCGAAGGCTGGAATTCTGTGAAAATATGTCAACTAAAATTTTCCAACAGCCAGACTATGTAAGGAAAATTTGTTTTAGTGACGAAAGTACTTTCTTCCTTAATGGAAATGTTAATACTCAAAATGTGAGGTATTGGAGTGACATAAATCCTCACATGATTCGTAAAAAACATACCCAGTTCCCATTAAAAGTAAATATTTGGGCAGGTATTTTGGGAAACCAGCCTCTTTTTTTGAACTCTAATTTAACCGGTGAAGTATATCTCGAGATGTTAGACGACGCAATTGAAGCGTTAATTCTTCAAATTCTGGAAGATAATCCAGATGAATTTGGTAACTTGGAAATAACGTTCCAACAAGATGGTGCTCCTGCACACTATTACTTTGCAATAAGACGTTATCTAGATCAGGAATATCCTGGTAGATGGATTGGACGACGCGGTCCAATAGAATGGCCAGCTCCGTCACCGAACCTAACACCTTCAGATTTTTTTCTGTGGAGATATCTTAAATCTAAAGTTTACGCTACAGCTCCTGACATTATTGACGTTTAAAACAACGAATTGTTGAAGAATGTAGGGCAATTTCCCCTGACACATTTAATCGAGTCCGATAAGAGTTTAATAATAGGATGTTTTACTACCAGGAAGTAGATGGAGCACATTTTGAACAATTATTATAAGAACTTGTTCTTAAATATTTATTAATTAAAAGCGAAACTCAAATTTTAGTGTTTATTTATTTTAACCATCAAAAACATCGTAACTCAAAAAAAAATAGTATGACTGAATAGGTATTCTAAATACCTTTCAAACGAGATGTCACTTGCCATAAAGTCCCATTTAATATTATGGGTTTCAGTTGCCTGGTGAGGTCACCGATGCCAATTACGTCACCTGTTACCACTAGTAGAGAAGCTTACAATAGTTCATTTACACCCTCCAAATTTTATCAGTCTAAGTATCACCATTCAAAAGAAAAGAGGGGGAGGGGACTTTTAAAAAGCACTGTATGAATTTTTAGTTAAGAAATAAACCAAAGAATTGTTCTCTTCCGTATGTGCATGATATTTTAGAATATTTAAAATATTGTCGTCATAAAAAAGAATTAGGTAAATGAGATTTACTTACGGTTAAATTTATAATGTTTGGCATACCATGGAGCATTAATGATGAGATCATCTAAGCCGTAACCTACATCGGCCATTATTAATATTGGCGGAGATCTAGGATTTTTCTTGTAGTACCAATTTTTCGGGTAGTTCTTTTTCTGGTAAACCTTAAAGTGTCCGTTTTTGATGGATCCCGCTTTTAGAGAGTCGTATATCGTTTGTTCATAACCTAAATGAAAAAATACGTGTTTTTTAGAAGGCGTTCGACACGGTTTATTCGATAATTACCTTCTTTAGGGTAAATTTGAAAGCAAGGGGTCGAGCCCGCCTTATTATACGTTCCGTTTGTCATGTACTGAGTGGTGTTAATAAAATTTGGCGGTTTGACAGCGACCAAACCGTGATCGCTTAATTGAATTACATTTGTCTTATCTGCTAAATTGTGTTTTTCGAGTTGTTCCTGTAAAATTATATTATTCTATAGAAAAGATAGTTAAAGTTGAATACGGAAATAATAGTCAGTAATTTGATTTGTGAAAAATGCTGTATAAGTCGTTGAAAAGAAATTTTCGGAACAAGAGGACTTTTTCAATGACAGGGTATATTGCAATTGCATATCGTCGCCTCAGAGCAACAGTAGGTTATCCAAAATAATAAGATTTTCAGATATTAGCGGCAAATTATTCGTAATAAACCCTGTTTTTAAGTGAAACACTAAGATATGTTAAAAATAAAATATTTTTTTCAGAAACTTACTTATCCTAAGTGACAATGTGCAGATTGAGCAAGAAATCGAAGTGACAATGTGCAGATTGAGCAAGAAATCGAAAATGGTAAGTAAAATCAATTTATATTTACTTTTGGCAGCTTCGCGCGTATTTTTATAGGTTATCTTACTAGTTGAGGCGCGCTTTGAGATTGTTTACAATTTCAACTAAATAAACAAACAAACAAACAAACAAAAAATACACTACCCACGAAGCGAACTTGTTGTGGGGATAAATATTCTGTTATTATTTAAACAAATTTGTTAAGTAACATTTTATCATATATAGGTAACTTGCAAAACAACTATTGTCACACAAGTACCAAAATTAAAAAGTATCACTATAATTATTTAATTATTTTATGTTTTCAAAATTTAATGGTTTTCGGAAACACACAAAACAGATAATAAAAAAAGGTAAGAATTAAATCACAAATATTTTTTCCAATCCATAAATATTTACAAAAAATATCAAAAGGAATTAGATTGAATCAACACTAATGCTTTATTTAGAAATTGTATACATATTTTGAATATCATTTTCCGATAGTTGTTGAAACCCTCGTTGAAACCAAATTTTTAATTTTTTTTATAGTAAAAATAATTTAAAACTTTAATAAAATGAGGAATTTTTGAGAAAATACGTGGTGCAATAAAGTAAAATGCTTTTTGACCAATTGATTTTGTGGCTCTTGCGGTTTCAAATTCTGACTTTTTTTTGTGCCTTGTATTATGAATGTGGGAGATTGATTTTAAATGTTGATTATTCTTTTGTTGAAGACACAGCATTCTATAAAAATATAATTTTCGCAAGCTAAATATACTAGTTTCTTGGAAAAGATTTTCTATCGGATAAGTTTTATTTCTATTATATATTATTTTTAAGAAAAACTTTTGAATAACTTCCAAATTTTTTGAGTGACACGCACCAAGTAAATACTAGACGTGGAGTAGATTCGGTAATGTTTACTTCTGTAAACTAAGAAGTTGTATATTGGTGTCAATTTAAAAACTTACTATGTGCAATAATGTCCTGAACCAAAAAAGAAAGGTAATTTATAGGGCGTAGGTCAACTAAATGGAAGGTAAAGGGTCGATGGGGGTGAGTTATCTTTTTAGGTTCAAGAGATATTGCCACTGTGTTTTCAAATTGTTAAAAGTATTAAAAAAAAATAATCTTGCTCAAACGTGTTCACAATGCGGTGTTGCCAAGGTAGAAATTTTAAAATATTTTGTTTAAAGCTATATTTAATTATTATTTTTATCAATTAAATATATTGTTTTAGTTATTGAACTTGAAGCTGAAGCGTCTACCTCAAATTTAGAAAAAAATTACAATGTTGCACAGTGGTTGCAAAACCAAAAATTTGATAAAGAGAATGAGTCGCCAGTTTCATCGTGTTTAAATCAGGTTCAAAATATGGTTTACCAAACTGAAATGTTTCCAGAAGAACTGAGAAACAATGAACTGACTGAACTCATGCCAGTGTCCATTTTTAAGATCCCAAAAAGTAAAACTCGTGATGACCCAAATATTGGCACCCTTAGGAGTTTTACGAAAAGTCCAAGTGATTTTTCAGCCGACGATAATGTGCAAGATCCAGATTTTCTACTCAACTGATGAGATCAATAATTATGAGGAAATTGATAAAATAGCAGAAAAACAAACAAGCGGTGATGAAATAGAGATAGAAAAGACCATAAATAATAATAGTGAAAACGTGGAAGAAATACAAGAAACCGATAAACGTCGAAAAACAAGAAAGCGAATGAAAAATATGGACTGTTGGAAAAGAAACTTAAAAAAACAAAAAAATAATTCTAGAAAGGAATATGTTTTTAGACTAGGAAAGCTGCACAAAGCTAAATCTGTAGTAAAAACTTGTGGCGAAACATGTTAATTTAAATGCTCAGAGAAGGTTTCAGAAACTTGTAGACAAGACTTATTTAACACCTATTACCAGCTTGCTGATAAGTCTCTTTAGTTTTTATCTCGTCGCATTGAAAAAAAGGCCAAACCTGAAAAACAATACAAAAAGAAAACATTTACGTGCGCATACTTTTTTTAACGTTAATGATCAAAAAGTTAGGGTTTGAAAATTATTCTTTAAAAATACCTTAAACATTTCTAACTGTTATATTGATACTGTAATGAAAAAATTAGATGAATTTGGATTTTTGGAAAAAGAACAAATAGGAACACATTTAAACCGACCTAATAAAATTAATGCAAATTTAATTGGAGATGTAATAAAACATATTAATAGTTTTCTCAGGAAAGAGTCCCATTATTGTAGAGGGGTTCTACAGATCGCTTAACTTAAGGTAGTTCACTCGTAAAACGGCCTTTCTTAAGAATTCAATAAAATTGAAATATGAGGTTAATGAAAGTGTCTTTTATGTAGGTACCTAAAAAAATAAAAATTTTTGACCGTCTGTAAAACGAGATATTAACAATCAAAATGTGCATAATTAACACTCTTGAAGCCCTGTCATGTACACAATCATTGCATTTATTTCAAGATATCTCGAAAACGGTTCTTACCATATTTTTTAAAAACTAATATAATGTAAATCAAGAAGTTATAAAATTTTCTAAAAAAACGCTGAATTTTTTTACCGTTTTGATAAAGAAATATAGATTTTTAAAATAAAAATGTTCTAAAAGCAGTCGACGCATAGTGGCGTATTGTGATTACAACTTGGCAACGTTGTAATCGATACACTCAACGCCCGCTAATTCAAATGTCTGTTAGATCAGTGCTTCGCAATTTTTTTATTGCCGCGGACAAGTCAAATTTATCACTTTATCGAGACCTTCTGGGAAGGGACGTTGTTTATACTTTAGGTTGATATGATTTAACAATTTAAATTTAATTATATTTAAACATGTCTTCAAAATTAAATAAATATGTAAAAGATGAATATAATTTTATTTAAACATGCCTTCAAAATAAAATACAGTTACACAAAAAAATGAATATAAAGTAATTTAAAATTTTAACTTACTAGTATGAGGAAGTCATAAAAAAATACAAATAAAAGTAATGATTTTCTGTAGTATTGATGATATCGTAGGAACGTTCATGACAGCAAGAAATTTATTTAAAGCAGTTTAACTAACCCCTGAATACCTTTAAATAAATAAAATTATATTAATTATAATAAAAAAAAAATTATAAACACAACAAATACTTATGTATTTTTTTTAAATTTACCTAGAACTGCTTTAGTGTTGACATCTGAATGCTTAACTTCACTTTTTGTTGCATGAACTTTGTCCGTAAGTACTATAGTTTCAATATTACATTCATTACATTTAACATTTAAAATTGAATAAAGGCCCTTTCGTGTTTCATTTGTAATATTTTCAAGAGAAATAACTCTTTCACACCAGCAACATTTTAAATGTTCTCTAGTAATTCCACGATGCGACCACAGGGTTATTTTTCAAGCTTGGGGTTTCCTTTCTCAATTTTTTTGCATTATTCATGACCAAAATTGATTTTTTGCGTTTGTTGAGGACGTTCTGCTTAACACATTTTCCTTTATCTCGCAATTAATTGATTCTGATAATGAAACATTTTGATATTTACATTTATTTTACTTTAGGAATACATTTGACGTTTCATTCGATCATATATTAGGATAGATACGCCTTACCTGTGGAAGTAATGGGTTTAATGATTATCTAGACGGGGAGAGAGGAAAGGTATACAAACGGAGAACTTAGCAGTGCCGTACCGTATGGAAGGGGTTATATATTGTTAATTACTATAAAATGCTAGATGAAAGCGGATGGACATGATTTTAAAAAAAATATTGTTTTATAGCGTATATTTTTAACTTTCAATGTAAGAATAGTTTTTCACAGTATTGTGATACTACGTAGATCATGCACAGGCTTGTCATATTGTATATTATTTACTCAATTTTATAGGATTATTAATTTTGTACTTTAAACAATTTGTATACATTTTGAGTAAATATACCTACTATAAAGCTTGACTGATGAAGAAGAAAAGAAAGTAGAAAAATATTGTGAAGAACCCGTTTTATAAGTGAAGCAAGAATATTATACATATTTCTGACTACATACCTTCCTTTATGAAATAAAATAAAGACCAATTAAAGCATTTTATTTATCAACCAAAAATAGTTATACACAAATAATAATAATAATACTCTCCCTAATTACGGAGGTTAATGAACTTTATTATTTACAAAGTACTGTAGCAAAATTTTGCCGTACAAAAGTTAGAGGGAACAGAAGAAATAATGGCATTGTGTTTGTTCTTTATTTTAACAATTCTGACAATGCATGAAGTGGTGTAACTAATTTAAAATGGGTAGCGTCGATTGACATTTTCTGATATTTTTAAATACCTAAAATAAGAATCCCTTATTTAAAATGGTTTTATTTGGATAGATGGCTATTTTTTAAAAATTTAAATGCAAATAAAAACCTACAATAAATAGGTACATATTATATATAATCAAAAATAAGCTTCAAGATTTATTTTCATTTTTTTTAAATAATATTTAGTTCATGCGCAACACGGCTTTTCTTAGGAATTCAATAAAATTAAAATATAAGGTTAAAGAAAATGTCTTTTACGTACCTAAGTAAAAAAAAAATTTTTTTGACCGTCTGTGAAACGAGATATTAACAATGAAATTGTGCATAATTAACA